TAGGGAAAAAAAAATCCCAGCTAAGATCTCCAGAACTCCTGCCACAGTGGCAATGATGTCGTTGCTGACTAGCTTCAAAACGTGGTTGCCTACAGAGAGATTGAATATCCACAGGATGCGGAACAGAAAGTCCTCCACAAGAGCCAGCACATAGTAGAACTGCAGTATACAGAGAAAACATGAGGAGTGAGTATAGAACAAAGCCTACCTTGTATGTGTATATTCTCTCCTCACGCATAGTGAGGGCCTTTTTGCGGCAGCAGCGCTGGGGGATATTGGGGAAGAGACTCCAGTCCATGAGAATGTCCCAGGAGAAGGTGTAGGAGGTAGAGACCACGGCTGACAGCACCCAGAGACAGAAGATGGCCAGATATAGAAGACTCTGCTCCAAGAATGGCAGAGAGCCATCTGGGGTGTGCAGGGGGCAAGAGAGACACTGGTGCAACACAGGGAAAAGCGAGAGAGTAGAGATACCAAAGAGCAAGAAGAGACGAGGCAGATGTAAAATTGAGTGTGAAAGGATGGTTTGTAAGATGAGATTTAAAATGTCAATGACAGATGATCAAAGGGAAGAAGACTACATCAACACAGCACAGCTCCAAACACGTTCAAACTCTCCCCACCTATGACAGTACTGGCCACAGCAGAGAACACGACGACAAAAAAAGAGGTAGAGTATTTGCCGGCGTTGATGAGGTGGGGGTTGGCCTCCTTGGTGTCGTAGTACCTCCTCATGCACTGGGCAAACCTCCACCAGGCCGGCAGCACCGCCACCACCACCCTCAGACCATACGTCCCCGTCCCACAGGAGAATGTGGAGCCCTCTGGGGGGGGGAGACACGGAGTGCCACAATACAGGTGTTTCTGGTGCAGATATTCACACACACGCACACACAGCCAGTATAGTGCTGAATCTGTTAGTATCGCTTTTCGGCTGGCTTATGGTAACAGACAGACAGACAGACACACACACAGGATTTTAACCCTCGCTGTGCATGCACGCTGATGGTTAACAAGAGCTGACTGAAGTATACAAATTTTATAATGTAATACACCAGCCATAGTTGAATGAAAAGCACTGAAGTGCAAACCCTCGGCGCATTGTGACGCGCACGCGTGAGTAAACGCATGCGCTGTATCACTAATTGTTGGGCTGGATTTAGTTCTGGCTGTTACCTCCTGGTCTCTAGCCATCTCGCGCAGAGTCTGACGCGGGCTAACTACACTACTGGACAGCATGCGAGAGGCGATACACGCCCTGCGTTGCATCTTCTGGTGCCTCCGAGGTCGCAGAGCACGCGGATCGATCAGACTGCGGTAAGCCATCCCGTCCGTTGCGTATTTGCATATTGGCTTTTTCGTGCTCTAGCTTTGCAACGGAGCATTTTCAGAGAAAACCGCCTTTATTTTCTGACCTTCGTCGCCCGTTGGGTAGATGGTATCGTTTCTGGGACGAACAGACGTTCGAGGAGTGAGATATAGAGTAACAGACAAACAGACAAACAGACAGACCCAACTACTGTACCCTCGCTGCGCATGCGCGCCGAGGGTAATAACAGGGTGGTGTGCTTTCTGGACTAACCTGGAGCAATCTGGCCATAGAAGAGGTAGCAGAAGAAGTACTCTGTGTCGAGCATGGCCAGACTGAGGCTGGTCAGCTGGTCGGCAATCCAGAAGTCAGCAAATGTCACAGGGAAAAAAGGAGCACAAGCAATGCGACCCTGCATGGGGGTACGTACACATATACCCAGGCTTACTTCTGCAAAAACAGTTCACCTACATAACAGCTACCCGAACAAGAAAATCAGTTTTAAATTTCTTAGTGCCAGCCAGAGTGGAATGTACAGTAGTGCACGCATCCAAAAGGAACGTTACAAGATGATTCAATAGCATGCTTAAAACATTGACTCCCGTACAATTTGGTCGAGTCTTAAGCAGACAACAGCAATGCCCGGACATGCTAACGCCACCAGTACACGTACATAATAACCTCCATTTAACAATGAGTTTTGATTGGCTCACCAGCCTTTTGAGTAGCCAGATTCTGGAGCGAGGTCTGACGACAGGCAGTGGGAGAAAGAGGAGAGAGAGCAACACACCGTACATCGCCAGGGGCCCCACATAGACCGGGATGTGCAGCCAGGGAGCAAAGGCTATCAGGTACAGACCAGTTATCCATATGACGGAGATCATACCAGCCACCTGGATGTTTCAACAACAAGGTGAGCTTGAAAGGCAAAGGCAAAGCAACAAGTCAATAAGAGTGTGCGAATAAGTAAAATGTGCATGCAAAGCCTTGTGGGGATGAATCTCATTAGTTCAAACCCACAAGTGCTGCGCTCCTGGTAGCCTTTATAAACTCGTGATGCTCTGCTGATGAGGGCCAACAAACCTGTCCAGAGCTCCGCATCTTTTTTCTAGTATAATTTCTTCATGTATTTTCCATGTGTACATGCAAGCACAAGTGTGTGCAAGTGTATGTGTACACTCCTGTTCACGTACTGCAAAGAGCTCTACGAAATTGAGGTAGTCCCTGGGATTAAACTCGAAAATGAGGACGTTGTTCACGCCGGCCCTCCTCCAGCCAAAGGTGTTGACGGCAAAGCCGTAGAACCAGATGGAGAGGACGAGTCCAGCCCGCATGGCCCGCAGGGAAGGTTCAAGGTGGGGGTCCGCATAGCTCCTGGTCGGCCACTGGCTGAACGCAATGCAGACCACCACAATACTGAGGATCAAGAGTCCGCTGAACAGCCCGGCAAAGTAGGAGGTCCAGTGGGAGCGGCGATGCTCAGTACCCAGCGGCGGCACCCGCAGCCTGTTCATGGCCTTGCTCCGGTTCCCGTCCTCCAGCTGGATCATGCTCTTCTCCGCCTGCTCTATCATCTTGGTCACCTTCTTGGACGTCCAGAAGTGGGCACGGCACACGCCCTGCACAAACTTGGCCTTCCCGCGCGAGCTCTGCGCCAGCTTGTCGTGCTTCTTGAGGATCTTACGGAACCCGGTGTGGTTGAGCTGCTGAAAGTTCTGGAGGAGGATGAGGTTGAGGTATGTCTCACTGAGGGCTCGTTTGAGGACCCTTCGCTGTTTCCCAGCCCTCCGGTACGACAACATGCCCACCTGCATCACCTGTGGTAGCAGTACACACTGACTGTAGGCCAATAGACACATGCAGAAGTAACCATTTTTTTACAGCAAATCATATATGACTACAATGTGCTAGTGAACACCTTGGCGGCGAAATTGAAAGTGTCCTTTATTCAGAGACATGTATGTAGTATAATACACTAACATACGTATTAGTATGGGACAGAACTACGTATGTACACTGTCCTTTGTAGAAAAGTTTATTTAGAGGTACAGTAGGGGTTTTTGACTCCTACTGTAGTACAACATACTAATATATTTGTATGGGGCAGAACCACAGTGTCCTTTATAGAGAGGTGTCCTTTATTCAAAGGGTCCTTTTTCGGAGATTACACGTACTGTATAGAGCATAATATCACAGTCATTATTACAGAGGTGGTGCATAATGTTCTTTGACCTGTTCCTCCAGCTCTGAGAGGGCAAATTGGAGGTCGACCTCCTCTTTGCTGAAGAACTTGTCAATGGACAGGAGCTGAGCGTCGACCTTTCTGAAAAACTCTTCCTGGAGGTCTTCATCTACATCCACCACCACCTCCTCCGCCTCTGTAGGCAGTAGGAGCTACAGTTACTTCCTTAGAGGGGCCAGGTACCAGCTAGTCTACCTCAGGAGAAGGAGGAGCCTGGGATATTTCACACATCCCATTCTTTATCATCAATGGTGCTTTGACACAACGGTATGAAGTGCCCTCCCCCCACTCTAGTACTCTCATTATCTTACATGAAACTATCTCCAATTACCCAGGGAGCACAGAGATGGCAAATGGGAAAATACAGCTCTGTATTTCTCAGTAGCATGGCTGTGTATGTATATACCACCTTGCTCCCATATATAGAAAACGTGTATGTGTCATCAATGGGTCAAGGTAAAGTAGAGGCAAACAACACGAGTAGATCTATGACAATTGTATGGGAGTTTTATAGGCAGAGAAAAGGGTGCAGAACACCAGTACTGCAGCGCTAGGCATCTCTGGGAATATGCGTATGCTTATTAGCATGCTCACAACACAACCCCACCACATGTCATGCAAGGTGTATGTGACCACGATGAATTTCCATGCATCTGCTAGACTGTTGATAAGAACTGAGAAAACTGTGGTGGTATGTCCTATGATAAGAGTGGCCATTCTCTGATGGAAATCTGAGCAGTAGACAGGCCATGAACATAGGTCACAGAGTGAGAACACACAGAATCACTAACATCAATGTGATATTAAAATTTGCCTAGCTACCACTTTTCTCGTATTTAGGGGGTGGTGTGTATAGCTAGCTATACATAGCTACATCTTGGGATGTAATCTAGATACTGGTTACATGAGCAACCAACCTACATCTCACCTCTGTTATGTGGCCACGATCCCAGCAGAGTCTTCTTGGTGCCTATCATCTCATAACACATCCTGGGGAAATTCCATTTAGATATCACACTGTTCTCTCGGGCTGCGTGTTAAAGGCCTATGGAGGTGAAGTGTGGACGTCTTACTTTTTCAGCTCGGTGTACTGTATGTACTTCTTCCTCCACTCTGGAGTGAGGTGACTCGAGAGGTGCCTCGAGAACCTCATGACTGCCCCCGCCGCCCTGCCTGCCCTCCGATAAACCCGTACCTCCTCACACCTCACTACGAAGTGTTAATGCTCTCTTTACACTGCTGGACGTGCTATATCACGACGAGTGCACGGCTAGCTGCTGGCTGTGTATTATACACGCCGAAGCTGAACGATGCCGTTCGCGTTTAGCTCCACCCCTTGCCGGCCCCTTTTATATCCTCGCGCGCGCCTACTTCGCTCGCCGGCCGGCAAGCCACCTGCGCGTGCGCAGTATAAAGAGATGCCGATAAACACTCATGCACGAATTCACACAGGTCTGACATTGTGCACAGAAAATAAATGCTAATTGGCAGCAGCAGTAGCAGCAAAGAATGTCTAGGAAGAGCAGTCAGGTTTTTCAAGCCATTTTACTAAGCAGCAGCAGGACATTGTTGCAGTTTTGCGACATAATTTTCTCAGAATTCCTCGTGACAATTCAGATATTCTCCCCATTCAGTGGCACGGCTACCTACAAACACATCTTGGTGCTGTATTATCTCTTCCTTTGATAGCTTCTTGTCCTGTTGTGTGTGTGCGTTTGTTGATAATACTTCTGGATTTCTGCACACTGACAGACACTATTGCACTGTTTTTGTGACAAAATGATCCTATCCTATATACCCTGCCTAAGTTCTCAAAGCTGCGAAACTTTGAGCATCTTGTTTATGAAAAACTGCTTGGTTACATCCTAGAATTACCACCACATAGGTTTGACTATGGAGGGTCAATTAACCAGTGATATTATAGAAGGAAATTGCTTTGCACTCTAGGATTCTGTGATACTGTGGCCTTGTGGATGTCTTCTAACAAACTCAGTGGCACCCAGCATACAGTCATACCATGTCTGAGTCAGCGTGGAGGATGAGGTGCAATGCCTCTACGTTGAACGGATCGTGATTGTCGGGCATTAACCAAGCTCTGAACTCTTTCAGACTCAGTTTCCCGTCTCCATCGGTGTCTCTGGGGAGAAAGTGAAATTCATTACTGGTCCTGGCCACAATAACAATGAAAAAACATTGAAGTGCAAACCCTGGGCGAACTGCGCATGCGCAGTACCGCTAATTGATGGGCTGGGCTATCAATATGCGCTTACTCCTGGTCTCTCACTAGTACGTAGCTCGCAGAGAGTCTAAAACAGGCTAGCTAAAACAGTAGATAGCATGCGGGAGTCGATACACGCCCTTCGTTGTGACTTCTTGTGCCTCCAAGGTACGCAGAGCAAGCGGACCCGGTCGGGGTAAGCCTGTGCTAATTAGTATATTGGCTTGTTCACTTGGTTTTCTTGCCATAACTTCCGAATTAAAAATAAAGTCAGTGCGGTACTGAACCCGTTGGTAGCGCTTTTTGGCCGTTTTGTTGCGCGTAGCGGCAGAAACGAGACAACAGACAGGCGGACAGACAGAGACTGGAATGACAAACCAAGTACCATAAACCTCGCTGAGCATGCGCGCCGAGTCCTCAACCATCAGCCCATATCCTTACCTTGAGGCAAAGTTGGCCTTTTCCCGAGGCAGCCATTCGGGCTCCTTGTCTCTCTGGTCTAACGACCATACATCCTCTGGGAAGAGCATCATACAACACAATGAGACACGTAATAATGCTGCATATTGTGCTGAGGTGAACCTTTACTAACCGATGTACTCTGAGAGTGTGAGAAACATGTCTTTGTTCCTGTCCATGTCCTCCATACGGTTCTTGACGTACATCTCCTTCAGGTGGGGTGCCTCCTCTGGAATTGAGTATGCATAGTTGCACACACCATTACGTGATTACATTAATTATGAAAGGTGTGGTAGTGGTGGTGGTGGTGGTGGGACAGACCTGGATGTAGGAAGTCAGCCAGCTCATCCTTAGTCAGTTTCTTGTCACCGTCCAGATCAGCTGCTTCAAAGAGCTTTCTCTTTCGCTTGATCATGTCCTTGTAAGAGATCTTGTATCTGGTGTCATAGATTGCATTCTCATCTGGAGAGATATAACAGCACAATAGGCTGGAGAATGGGCCCGCTTATTTAGTTTATACCTTTAATCTCTTCTCTAATGGCTCTCTTACGGTACTCATCAAACGTGATGTAATCATCACCATCCGCGTCATAGTGTGGTGCCAGTCTCATCACACTGTCGATGATGTATCTATGGCAAATCGTATATATCACCAACTGACAAATTTTGGTCATTACAATGATCTAGAATGTTTGCTACCGCCACGAGATATAATAGAGATTACAGATCAATGTCTCTCATCCTGCCGTATATACGACATTGGTTGTACTGGTGCATACGGTACAAAGTAAGGGGATCGGGCCTTACCTTTTGCCAACGTGTCCCACCCATGCCTCAAGTTCTTTCTCGGTCACAAATCCATCCTTGTCTGTGTCAATCCGATCCACTATCAAACTGCTCATTGATGAGACAGGGGCAGAGGGTGGGAGAGGGAAGATGTAGTTAGTCTAAGCCATCTGGCAAAGTTTTGATAAATCTACTCAGATCCCACGTGTCAGGAACCCAAGACAAGGACATACTCTGCATAGAGTCTTAGCTGATTTTTCTTACCCCAGTCTCCGTTTTGCCTCCTGAGGTGTCAGTTTGTCAAACTTGTCTGATTCACTCTTCCCCAGGAAAGCTTCATGGTCAAACTGAGCGTTATGCTCTCCCGTGAGGTGCTCTGCCACCGTCTCCTTAGTATCTGCATGGGAGACAGATATTTGTATAATTGTAGTTTTGTATGTACCAGCTGGTAAATGTAGGGTGCATGATTTGGTTGTGTGTATATATATACATGAAGTGGGCAATGGAAACATGCTGCATCTCTATAATAGTCATTTTGGCCGCAGTAGAGGACATTATATTACAATTATGAGAACACTAGGTGAAAATTGATGAAGGCAGAAACCCCGTCAATTATATATATGCAGCACGCGACGCGCCGCAAAGCCGAAGCGACTATACCGTACCTGTCGGTCCGGCACAGTAACGGGTGAGAGAACACCACCGAGACCGCAAGGAGCAAAGTCACCAGTGTTACACTACGGCAGTGTCGTAGTCAGTGACGTAGATATTAGGTCTAACCCAGAAAAGAAAGCGCCTCTGACTCTGTATGCGGCGAAAGCAATTATTCTCCGCGCTTATATATATACCCCTGCCGCAGTCGAAGCAAAGAAGAGCGGGTCGCATTGTGCGCGCGTGCGTGCGCGGAGCCATCGCCGACTGCCACGTTGCCGCCACGTTCAAAAACTCGTACGCATGCGCGCACACACTGCAACATGGGAAGGAGACAAAAAATAATCTTACACACAGAGGAAAAATAGGCGTGAGGAGAGTGCGGTCTGAAAAACTACTCGACAACACCAGTCTCCTCTACATTGGTCGTCACGTCGCACAGCCTGATGGCACCGCTTGACGTGGACCAGTCATGAGCAGCGGCGAACCCATGTTTGATGCGATAACGTCCAAACTCTTCTTCCCTCCACTTTCTCTATTGATTCCTCTTGACGTCCAAGTAAGTAGCGAGAGGCCTCGTGGCCAGCATTGCATAGTTCATGCCGAGTTTTGGTTGCCACTTGCCCAGAGCTGTGCGACAGCTCGGCGGGGCGGTGGATGGTGTCAACTCGTAGTCCTCCGGTGATGCAGTCAGTCCACTGGATGAGAGCAGTTGGCAGCAGCAGGAGGTCCAGCAGGAACTGCCACAACTGATGCGGGGGCGGCTGGCTGGAGTCGTCTGTATGGCATGGTGAAGAAAAGTGTGAGGAGACCAGGAATAAACAGAACAACACTTCGCGAACAATCATATAATTCTACGAGTTGCTTCTGCTCCGTATATACATGCCATAGTTTGAGCGGGGTAAATCAACTCTCATGGGCTTGAAACCCAACTATGGTCGCCTTCGTTTTGGAAAACACTATACAAGGTTCACTCGATCTATTCTCACGCCATTCCACTCACTCTCTGACTTCCCTGACAAGAAGACACGACACACTACTCACACATGTCGACACAACCACCAATGCGCGACTTTCTACATGATATTTTGAATGTTTAGTGTCACAGCCATTACCGTGACTGAATGGTAGCATGGGACTGGTCCTGGAGATTTCCGAAAGTATATAGCGACGGCTAACTGAGCTGAAAATATGCAAATTTAGGAGAGAGCACCTCAATGGGGAATTGGCTTACGTTTCAAGATTAGAGTTAGAGTGGATCAAGTGACTTGCTACCAGACGAAAGGACGAGGGAGGCAGAGCTATTCCAGTACTGTCAGTGACCCGCACAGCTCGGAAGCCTGGATGGCGGGAGGCTGCAAGGAGGAAACTGCGCCAGCGGATGAGGCCGGCTCTTGGGGGTTCGGTGTTGGGAGTGGCGGGTGAGAGCGGGGGAGAGGGGGAGGAGGAGGGTGGGGGTAAGCGAGTGACAGATTATGGATGAGGTGTGTGCAGCGAGGAGGAGATCGTGTGTCGGTGGGAGGAGCTGTGTGGTATTATGATGGCGGTTGCCTGTCGGCTTATGGGGTCTATGGTTGATGGTTGCTCAAAGTGTGCAGAGGGGAAGAGGTGGATGGGTGCTGAAGAGTGGTATTCTGGTTGTGATTTGCGGTGATGTGTGAGGATGTGAGGGGTGGAGATGAGAGATGGGAGTTGCAAAGATTGCTCGGCATGCGGTGCAGCTAAATCTTGAGTCAGGGGGGAGCTTAGCATTGGCTAAGGTCAGAGGGCGTGCTGAGAAGAGTCGAAAGCTCTAGGAAAGGAGTTCTTAAGTTTGCGTGAGCCGATGAAAGGTGCCCAACCAGATGGTTGGGGAGGAGACGTTTCCTGCATCCATATCTGAATCGGTGACCACGGTCAATGCTGCTAGTCGGTGCACGGAGGTATGCGGAAGTTGAATGGAGGCTTGTGTTGGGAAGCAACATCGTTAGTGGTAGATTAGTGGGGGGCTCCTCCCAAATGTTGCGGGTGGTTCGGTTTTAGCGCCAGAGGAGATAGAAGCATCATCCCTGGTTGTTGCCCGGCGTGAGGGCAGTGGGTGGCAGATGCCCTGTAGTGCAGATGGATGACCAGTTGTTGTGGAAGTTGGTGGTGGGGTGGTGGCATAGCCCCCCATGAAGGAGTACGGGGAGATGAAGGGTGTTTGTAGGGACGAGGACTGGCGGGGGGGAGACCATTACTCGGGAGTTTTTTTTTTTTTGTTTTTTGTTGTACATGAGTTTTGGATGAGAACCCATTGAGGCCAGGTCCCGCAGCAGTCACCAAGCCTGGGGGGAACGCAAGCGGCTGGAGGGAGGACCCTCCCTACCTTGGAATTGAGTGAAGAGGACTAGCGAGGCGTAGAGCTGACCGGAACCACAGCATTGGCCCGTGGCCATGAGGGGAGCTCGTTCTGCAGCCCGACAACCTTATCTCGCGTGCTGCTGTTGCTTGCTGGTGGAGGAAGTAATCCCTATGCATACGCAAGAGGAGTCTCTTTTGCCGACAGCCATGAATATTGCGATCGGGTGACGGGAAGCGTACTCTTGATCACATGGAAGGTTCTCGTCCAGGAAAAAGCTTGTCTCCTCCTGTCTTGTCCCGTGATGGAGATATGACCGGGGTCTGAAGTTGCGTATGTGGGCCAGTGTAGTAGATTTAAACTTGTGGCGTCATCGGTTGTAGTTTTATCGAACCAACTTCTTGGCCCGAGGAAGGTTCGTTGAGGAACGCATTTATTGGAGCCACAGGCCTTAGAGTATGGGGCATTAGGTGTCCGTATTTGGATTATGCGATGAATGTGTGAAAGATTGAGGGAAGCACTAGTTTCGATATGTGGCCGTAAGTGTGATAGAAAGCGTAGGGAGGTGATTTTGGGATGCTGACGCATGTGGTGCCGTCCGGGGAAAGAGTTGCTGGAGACGCTTTGCAAAGAGAGCCAGGGTGTTTCCGGACTCGCCCACTTGAGGCGGGGAGACTCCCTCGCTGGCCATTCTGCTCGATGGCCCAAGTGGAGGCTGCACCACAAAATCATCCGGGTCCTCGCCAAGTCTGGTGGGACATGATGAGAACAGTAGCAATCCGGGTGGGTGAGTGGTTGAGTTATTGACAACCTGTATCGCGGATGGATCTTCCCGGGGTTTTGTGGTATTCTGTGTTGGGTGGGTTGGGTGAGACTCCCGCATCTAGCCACCTTGTCTGAGGGAGGGTGAGGGAGAGAGCTGGGGGAAAGGGGGGAGAGGAGGCCTTGTTGTGAACGTCCCAAAAAAGGCTACTGGTTTCCCAGGACTGGAGCTTTGTGGTGAAATTGTGCCAATGCAAGTTATTTGTTTCGGGGAGACGCAGCCAGGGGTATGCTGTTGCGTTCTACCGACTCCCAGTTCCAGATGCTGCTTGTGTCCTGCAGACAGAAGGAGAAAGGTGAACCTCAGAAGCAGAATAACGGGTACCGTGTGACAAGCACACAATGTCTCGAAAGTCACTCAGACGTACACCATATTAGCATAATAGGTGAATCACACACAGGTTGAAATGAGGTAAGTGGCCTTGCTTCTCATGGTATGGATGAGCCTGTGTCCTGATTATAAACCATAGTATTCGTGTAGTAATGTATACCACCAGGCGATGGCATTGGTGCCACAGCAACCTACTTGAACCAGGATGTTTGCATACTTCGGGTGGACCACACACTATGGGAGGCAACATACTACATTCCTTTGCTAATTAGAGGGGAGTGAGCATTAATGGGGGGGAAAAGGGCACTAAGCCAAACTACCCCAGAGTTCATTTATGTCTTTTGGCCATTAATACCCACCCCACTATAGTACAAATACAGCTATAGCTAAGTGCCGTTCCTAGTTATTGTCCAAACACAAAGGCATGAACCTGTAGTGAGGACAGTGCTGGATCTCGAGGCAAGAGGAAGATATCACGTCGCAGAGCAAGCCCAGGATCCAGGAGGCGAGGAGAGGGAGGGCTTCCGAGAGGTGGCCAGGAGCCAGTTGCCACAGCTCTAGCAGGACGCTGGACGAGGACACTCGCAGGAGGACAGATAGTAAGTCAAAGAGGCCTCTCCGTAGGTGGCACTGTTGATCAAGGGCAAAGTTTTGACTCGGGGCAGTGAAAATAATTGTGGGACAATCCTCGCCCTGTCTGGCTGGAAACCAGGAGACACATTCCTTTATGTTGGTGATTGCTCCCATGCATGGCACAGAGGGTATGGCGGATGTTTCCCGACATTGATTGGCACAAACAAAAGGTAAAATTTCTGTTGAAGGAAACATAAACCCTATTGGTATTCATTACACACACGCTTTCCGCACTTGGTGGCCACGCAATAGCGACCCAGGGGCCATTACAACTTACACAGGTAGATGTTTCTTTGCATTTGGTACACGGCGGTGGAATAATGGTGAACGGTTGTTTGCAACGGGGAGGCGGGCGACAGCGGCTGACCATAACCAGCGGCGTGAACACGACCCGCATCTCACCTCTCCACACGTTTTGTCCGCTAAGATCGCCTGCAGAAGTTGAGCGAGAAGAGGGTAGCTAGCCGGCATCGCAAGTCTGTCCACGAGTGAAGAACGATATGCTGCTGCGACGGCACAGCACTCGTTCAGCTTCGCCATCGCTGAATTCAGCGGATGGATCCTCCCTTGTAGTGTCAGTAGAGCTGAACAAGCGGATGAGATTAGGGAAAGAGGGAAGCGCCGTTAGTTTGAGAAGGTCGCGAGCAGTGGGTGGCGAGCCCGGGAGGAGTGGATGGGGGGGAGGAGGCATCATTTCGTGTTGGGGGGGTCCTCCGAATAGATGAGTCGGGGTGGAGATCGCCAAACGTTATCCGCGCCACCACACCGCTACACGTCGTCCAGTGCACGGGCTCCTGCCGGAGAGACAGGGCCGCAATATCTTGTAGCAGGATACGTACAAGAGCAGGGGTCCTCGGATGGGCAGGGTGGCGAGGCAGGTTCTGCAGGACTCCGGAGGTCCCTGCTGTGCCGGCATTCGGCGGGAAGCGACACTCGAACAGCTCCGCCAGCCACTCTCCTAGCAGCAGCGCCGCGTAGGCTGCGTTTGTTTATCTAAGGAGGGCCGAAACGGGGTCCAGATAGTACGCGTGCTCGAGTAGCGAGACCTCGAATTTGCGTTCTCGCAGCTTCATCCGCGCGAACTCTCTTTCCTCAGTAGATAAGAGAGCGCAGTCACATACTCTGAAACGAAACCGTGGTGTAGGTCTGCCCTTTCATCAGCAGCGCAGTTGCCAGCAACCTCTGGACGACCTGGGTCGCAAACTGCGGTACGACAACTACGGCGAAGCGATTTGGCTGGATTTCCATCGCGTCCGAAGCCATCTTTAGAGAAAGAAAGAATACTAGCTAAAGTGAATATGGATATTCCCACTCGGCTACCGAATAGTAGCAGCATACAAGGCTGCAGTAAAAAATTCTTTCAGCGCGTAAATAATCGACGCGGGCAAGCGGCTAAGGCAGTACAACGAGATGTTGCAATCATAGGACAACGCAGCTACAGTACATCCAAGGTCAGACCCTGCGGAGGCGGGCGACGACCTGACTTCGCCTTGACACCCGTACCCGCGTCAAAAGGAGGGCTTTGCGTCGTTGGCAGACACATCGGAGCCAGCGGGTGCCATCCAATTACCAGACAGTGCAGTAGGGAAAATGATTAAAGGCACGGA